AATTTTGAAATTTTATAAGTTATCAAGAATCATACAACTAATGAAAATGTACAAAAAGAATTCAAATGATGATATAATCAAGAAGGAAAAAATGTCTATAAATAACTCATATAAAACAAGAAATTTTTAAATTCAATCTAGGAGGGAATTTATCATATAAATCATATACGATCAAATAACAGTTTTTTAATAAAATAAATTTAAAAATAATAAGTTTAAAAAATTTCACGTTTTAGCAAGAATTAATCAAAACAATTCACATGCATGGACACATAATCCACGAGAGTAAGTCACCAACGAGGGTAGCTTAAAACCATGAAATAATCAAGTGTGAGTACGATACTCATGAATATTGATCCCTCCGTTCCACACACATTGGCCTGCACATGGGGCTAACATCTCATACAAGCACTCTATTATCTATGAATATCATGGCACGTCAAGAACTAATAAAACTGCCATTAGTAACCAATGTTATAAACTCTATCTCCTTAATCAAAATCAAGTGTGCATGGACCTAAACATCTATTTTAAAATCATTCTTTTCAAAATATAAGATTCAACTATCAACTTTCCTTTCCAATATTTGTTTCCCATGCACAAATCACTATATTAACAGATTTCAAATTAAATATAAATGTTAAATAATAGGATTATTTTGAATAAATAATTAATTCATTACATATTGGATCCAATAACATAACTTTCTAAAAAAAGATAGAATAATTTCAATAATGAAACAATTCAATAAAAATAAAATAAGTATAGAGGATTATGTAAATCGTAAAGAAAACAATAGCAAATACTTTAAATAAAATACTAGATAAAGATATTTTAAGAAAAAATTTAAAAAAATTTAATTGGGATGCACTCATGCACCTAAAGGACTCTAAAGAATTCTAAAAACTTGCTTCTCTTAACTTCTCACTTTAATTCTAATTATATCCTTAATTTCTTGACAAATAAATCACAATCCTAAAATTATTTATCAAATAATTTTTTAACATTTGGTAGACATTCAAATTCAATTTAACAACATCACAATCTAGAATATAAAATCAATAAATTCATTTTCAATTAACTAACTTACTAACAACCTAACTAAAACAAGAAAATATTTCCAACTCTTTTTGTACCTTATTAAAACTTAATGAAATGCCACAACCATCATTTTCTTTAACATAGTCTACTTTAGGTATTTTAGGATTTCAATTTAATGACTCAAATACTACTTATACATGTCCCTTCAAGACTAATAATATGAAAATTGAACAACTTGCATTTTGCCAAATTCTTTTTTTATACATCTCAAGCTTAGCACAGCATTACCTATGAATGCAAACAATCACACATTTGCTTTACTAAACTTCCATGTAGAAATTAACCATTTTAATTCAACCAACTTTCTCTTTTAAGCATCTTAGCAATCCAAATATACTTAAGTCAAATAAACTATTTGATATATTTTAATTCATCCTTTTACCTTATTGTAACATATCATCAATCATAAATTATAATAAATCATATCAACTAATTTTATGCTTCCTTTAAACTTAATAAAGTAGTATACAAACATTCTATATAATCTTTTATCCTAATTTGGCATTTTCAAATTTCAATCAATAGCTTAAGCCACTACCTACAAACATTCTATCAAGTTATATCATGCCAATTTAGTAACATGTTCACAAACACCTTAAGTGCATGAAAATTCAGTTCACAATAATCCTCCAACAATTTAATCAACATTCAGCTCATTACCAAATTAAAATAATGCACAACATTAACCAAAATACAGTTTAATTTCCTTAAAATTATGATAGCAACTATAGGGAGCATGAGGATTCTTCGGCCAGGGAGAAGAGAGTGATTCGTGTTGCCACAACCAGCAACTCACCTTAAATCAAAATATAATAGCTTCAGCCACACCTCAGCTTGAAGATGACACCAAAGGAGAGTAGAAAATCTTCGTCTCTGCTGTTCAAACGAGAAGGAGGAGGAGCAGAAAATCAGTGACGAAAAAAAAAATAGAGAGAGACTTGAGCTCACCATACACACACGCACGATGTCCACTTGAGCATGAATCAATTCTCTCCAAGAAGTTCTATTGGAGCATGTCATTGAGATTTATCACAGGATTTTAGGAAACTTTTGGCTTGATTCTTTTTAATTTCTCTTGGAGACATACCTACTTCAGATTTCTAAACAATTTAACACACACTATGGTTGTTCTGAGATGGTAAATATGATTAAATGCAATCAGTGTCTTAAAGGTTACAAGGTAAATCAATCACATATGCATCTTTCCTCTTATTTTTCTATTTAAAGTTTATTTATATTTTTTTTAAAAAAATACAACTACTATTTTCCCCCTTTCATTTTGCAGGAGAGACAAGGTTGAAGACCTCCAAGCTTAGAACAGGATGGCATGCATACTATGTAGGTATATGACATGAACCGAATATTAAAGCATGGATGTTGCTGTACTATTAAATACTATATGTTCTTTTTTGGTTCTATTAATATTGCAACCATTGTTTATGTGTTTTGTTATGCTGTTTTGAGTATGTTTTCTTAGGAAGCAACTTTTTTCCTTCTCACAAAACGTTGCATTAGAATAAATGCCATCTACTTTGAAGTCCATTAGATGTGCTCTCTCTCTCTATAGTATATACATTGCGTGCGTGTTTGCGCGTGCGTGTGCAAATGATGCACTTCACTTTTTTAAAAAAAGACAGACAAACTTCTAGGACATCCGAAATACATAGCAAATCCATTCAAGATATTGCATAATGGCAAAAAATTTAGAAATTAGATAATGAGGCGTAAATGCCGCAATCTTGACAAATAATTTGATTCCTCATTATCCATATTATATTAATGTGTAGTCCTTTCGCTCAAAAATATAAAATATTTTTAAAAGGGTTGAATGTTCAAAAATATAAGTTATTTTTAATATTTAAAATATAATTATTATTTTTTTTTAAAAGTGCCCCCCGTTGAATACTCAATTCATTCTTATATATAATATGCATTCTAAAATTTTTTTTTATCTCTAAATATAAAAGGTTGTTAACATATTTTTAAAGAATGGATCATTGTACCCTTATTAGATTGGAAAGAGAAAAAAATAATAGTTTCATTAATTTACTTTGAAACAGAGATTCATTTTTTTTATTTTCAATAATTAGGGGCAAAATTGAAATATTGCTATGCTTTTATTATATAGCCAACTTTTTTGATTTGCATGATTCAATTAAAAACATCTTTATATAGGGACGGAGGGAGTAAATTACTTTATATTTTTTTAAAGTGAAACATCTTATTAAATAGGGATAAATATATAAAGATAATATTAGTTTAAAGACAAGTAACTACTTTATTGAAGGATGAGATTCAATTAAAAATATTTTATATTTTTAAATGGAGGGAGTATTTGCCAAAACAATGATAGATTTGCTCTTCAATACTAACGTATCATTTCTTTGTTCCAAATGGATGAAAATATCCAATAACCATCCTTTAATGCCTTCCTCTGGAAATGTGTCATAAACAAGAACAGTGTTGTAAACATTTTATTTCTCACTTTTTGTATAAAGATTCACTTGGTTCAATTAATTTTGAGAGTGATAATTAAGAAACAGAGATTTCGGCCTCTGTTTTTTTTTTTTTTGCCAAAAATATTTCATCCGCTGTTATTGATGAGCCTATAGTTACGCAACTTAAATTATCTCCCAACCAACATGATTTTTATGACAATGATTAAAGTTTAAAGTGAATTCTAATTACTCGACTAGAATCTAAGATCTACTATGAAGCTCCCAATAAATTAAAATCTAATGATAGTGCACTTCAAAAATGTAACCTAGGATGAAACCTCAATGAATGCAATTATATTATGACATGGACTCTTTATGACCTAATGTAAGGCATTTTTTCTGATATTAGATGTCCAAAAATATAATTCCTTGTTTGTTTGTATTTTCATTTTTTGTTTTTTAAAAAAAATTTGCAATACAATTTTAAACAATTTTTTTAAAAGAAAACAAAAAAGATATGTTTGATTATATTAATTTAAAAATAGTATTAAAAAAATTGGCCAATGGTGATAGTCACCAACAATTAATGAGTGGCTTATAATAATGATTGGTCAAAGTGAATACAGTTTTCAATTATCAAATATAATATATTTAAATATACTATATACATAAAAAAAAAAATAACTTTAAGATGTTTTTATTTTAAAAAACAATAAATGAGAATAGTTTTTTGAAACAATTAGATTGAAAACACCCTTATCCAAGCAAGTTTCTTTTTATATGTTTTGTTTTTATAGTATATAAATTAAGTATATAATTTTTTCCAAATGTAAATAGTTACTTGGAATTTAACTTGTAGGACTAGAATGAATAAAGTCCACGTTGTAGTTAACGGCTTATTAAGAGATAATAAATATTAAGAACTCTCGTAAAATAAAATAGGTCGTTTAATTGAGCACTCGTGGTTTATCGATTGTGAGATTGTTGACAATAAATTTAAAACACAATCAACACAATACTGAGAAAATTAATAAAAAAATCACTCAATTGGAAATTGATGGGTCCATGTGATAATGAAAGAAAAATCTATGAAAATCCAGCATTACTCGGCTGGCTAGGAGGTCCACCAAAGAAATATAATATTTATATTCCACTGTTCAACTGATGAGCCTAGGAATTAACAGAAATACAAATTTAAGATGTGAATCCAAGCTAAATGGCAATAACAAACAGCTGGGCTTCATAATTTAGGCTTCATAATCAAGTTAGCAAATTCTTTCTCAGCATAAAACTCCTCGCCACTATTGGATTCCCTGCATAATTTCGTCCACTCAACTGAGCTTGTGCCATTGTTTGCACACCCACATCAGCATACTCCAAAACACCTACAGGTACATACATACATACATAGGCTGCGGTTATAACTTGTACGGGAAAAACAAAACATCAATCAAACTCTTTATTGGGTTTGCCAGCCAACAAGTCACATCTTTTAGTGCTTGTTTGGTTTTCGCGCTTGAAATCATAAACTTGTTTTCAAACCAATCCATCTAGACACATGCTTTTCCATTAATTAATTAATAATTAATTAATGTGTATCAGAACTCAACACCAATAAACCAAACACACCAAAGCAGTTTACGCATACTAAACCTTGGCTTCAAGAAACCAGCATGTATTTGGCCAAAACAAAAAGGCCATCATGTAACATTAATTTTTTCTTTTTAAAAGGGGACACACACATGCACACTCAGGATCTCTTCCAAGCAAGGAAGCAGTATTGCTGCTAAGATAACTAACCGTTGACAAATAAAATATATGTAAAGGACATTCAGAGGCTAGAATTAGTACTAATCAGCACCAAGGGACTATTTTAAAAGATCATGAACATACCTTTCCAACTCCAGGTGGTGATGGTTCCCAATTTGGTCGGGGCCGAGGTATCACAACATTAACCAAAGTACCTGCAGATGATAAAAAGTGGTCAATTACGTACAGAAAAACAAAATTACTAAATTTATTCTGTCCAATCAAGTAAAATTGAAGATTATTGATGGAAGATGGAGGCTTCTGTCTTAGTTTAGGTGCTAGGCCTGATGGTGATGATGTGTGAATACAATTGTAGCTGTAAAACAAATAAACAAAAAAAAAAAAAAAATTACTATATATGCATATAACAGCCTGCAGAATTAAAGAGAGACAAGCAAACTAAACAGACGTTACCATATTTGGATCCCTCTCTTCTCATATCATCTACAATATCTTCATAGTCCTTATCATCTTTCAGATCAGTAGTAGATATAGCCTGACTTATACGAACAAACCTTCGTGCCACTGATTCTGGCTGAAGCGTGAGTCTCTGAGGATATAATAGAGATCAGTCAGTTAGAATACGATAAAACACACATACATAAAAATATATTTGATTATAGCAGTGAATTCAATACCATCAAATACGTACCTGTAGTGCATGAGTTAATCTGCCTTCTTGCTCAGGTTTTGGCGCTCGTCTAAGTATGAGCGTCTTGTCTCCAAATTTTATTCCATTCATAGCAGCACAAGCAATATCTGTTACCACAGGATCTTGATAAGCACAGAACGCGTAACCCTTTGAAATTCCTGTATCTCTATCTTTCACCAATTCAAAGCCCCGAAGTGGACCAAGAGTCTCTAGAAGTGTCCTGATCTCTGCTTCTCTAAAGTAATCAGGAATACCACCCACAAATAAACGATCAGGACCATCAAGTCCATCAGCAGCAGCAGATATAGCCTGGCTTAAACTAGCAACCTTCACCTTCGTTGCCGCTAATTCTTGTGGAAACATGACTCTCTAAGGAATTTAAGAAACATCAATCAGTTAGGATATGATCAAAAAAACATAAACCAAGAATATATTTGATAAGAGAATATCATCGAATACCTGTAGTGCAGGTTTTGGCTGGTTTTCAGCTGATAAGCTCGTCTAACAGTAAGAGTCTTATCTCCAGATTTTATTCCATTCAGAGCAACACAAACAATATCTGTAACTGCAGGATCTTGATATACACAGCATGCTCGAGTATCTCTATCTTTCACCAATTCAAAAGCCACGAAGTGGACCAAAAGTCTCAAGAAATTCCCTGATGTGTTTCTGTAATGTAATCAGTAGACCACCCACAAGTATAATCAGCACCATCAAGATTCTTGTTGAGAGCCATTTGCATCTGACAATGAGATCTTCGTCAAACAGATCTTCTTCAATTTGCTCACGTACGCTTCTTGACTTTAATCGCTTTCCTAACCTCTATTTATAAAGGCTAGAGGTTGGTTTGGCCTTTTATATAAGATATTTAGAAAATCTAATAATGAGATTAGTTAATCTTGATCTTGATAAATATATTATTTATTTAATATCTTGAGATAACATTGGGATATTGGGATCTCGTTATTTCTCTAGTTTATTTTTGGAGATAAAATATATTTTAAGATAATTCAATGATATAGTGACTTCTAATATTTTTCTAAATCCTTTAATTTCTTTTGAATTTCTTGAGGATGATTGATTATAGATATATAGATTTTGTTTTATTTAAAAAACTCAATAAAGAGAATAATCTTCACAATAGTCGTAGTCCCTAACCTTATTCTAAAATCTTAGCTCTGCCCTTGACCGTATTAAACCGTAGTTGACCCGTTATAATTAAATGATTATTATATATATATATATTATCTTTTATTACATAAATTAAGATATTACATAAAAATAAATAAATTTAATATTAATAAAAAATATAAAGGAGAAATAGTTATAAATTTTAAATTGTATATTAATTTTTATCTTAAAAAATGGTTCTAATATATTTTTTAATATGCATTTTAATAGTGTTAGTGTAAGACTAATTTTATCATTAAATCATTTCAATTTTCTTCTTCCAAAGCAACATTGAGAAGATAAAAAAAAAAAAAAGCATTTGCACCTTCTTCAAGTTTCGTGCAGAGCAATTAAACCTGGTGGACTTTCAAATTCTAATACCAAGGTACTTTCAAATGGTTGTTTTGACTTTTGAGATAAGATATTTAGAAAATCTAATATGAGATTAGCTAAATCTTGACCTTGATTTTTTTTTACCAGAAATTTTGATCTTGATAAAGATATTATTTACTTATTATCTTGAGATAATATTGGCATATGGAACCTCGTTATTTCTTTAGTTTATTGGAGATGAAGATATAATTTTAAGATCAGTCAATGATATAGTGATTTTTATATTTTCCTAACTCCTTCAATTTCTTTTTCAATTTTCTAGAGGATAATTGATTATAGATATATGGATTTTGTTTTCTTTTAAAAACTCAATTTCATAGGAATAATCTTCACAAATAGTCCCCTAATATCCACTTAAAAATTCAAGCATACAGATTTAAAGAAGTTTTGACCCTCTTTTTTTTCCCCATCGCTTGCTTTTTTTTTGTTATTTATTATTTTTTATCTTTATTTTATTTAAATAATTAAATAAACAAAATACTGTTTTCACATTTTTCATTGTCTTAAAAAAAATATGTTATCAAATCCCATATGAGAGTGAATTTATCTGTTAACGTATAAAAGTGAATTAGGCTAGGAGTATTGTAGGAGGATTCTTACAATCCAGTGATCTGAAAATCATTAGCTTCTTATGATTTTATGCCACAAAAATTAGGGATAGAATTGTTTTTTTTTTTTTTTGAATAAAAAGGCCACGGAAACACCATGCAGACATGTTATGTCATGTTAGCGTATAAAAAAATCCCTACATCCCAGGAGAGGAGTATCAAGATTTGAACATTGAAATTTTCAGTAGGAGCTTATGAGCCAACCAATTTGCGCATTTGTTTGCCTCCTTATAAACATGATCAAAAGTAACTATCCAATCTCTCATAATGAGATTTCTAATTTTGTTGATAGTAGCAATTAACAGGTGATTAGTAGAGAACTCGTTATATATTCACGTAAGGGCTTCCATAGAGTTAGATTAGACATTAACTTTGTCTATCTTCTTCTCCCAACAAATGTTTAGTCCTTCCAATATTCCCAAAACTCAGCTCCTGTACATGAATGATAACCAAGATACTTGGAGAATCCTTTGATCCAATTCCCATGTTTATCTCTTATGAGTCCACCGTAGGAAGTAGCACCTTGATTATTAACTGAGCCATCGATATCAAGTCTAACCCATCCATCTCTAGGCGTTTGTTCTATCACCCTGTTGGTTCAGAAAATTGATTTTAGATTGAAGACATAGATTATTGAGAATATTCTGAATGCTAGTAAAAGCAATGTCTCTCTCAAGATTAAATTGGGTTTTAAATCTAGGTGTTCGATGTCATATTATTATTTGAGTCAACGTACATTTTTTTGTGTACTGGATTAAAGTACATTTTTTATCAATGTTAAGAAAATTAGAGTGGCCATTAAACTGGTGAAGACACAAAGTTCACAATTGTAAATGGTCGCATTATGGACTGTGATAGATCTAAATGATCATGAATAATTATATTTTAAGTAATATATGTTTAATATAAAAATAAATAAATATGCATAATAATAAAAATATGAATATTGAATTTTAAACAAAAAATATATAATAAAAAATATCCACCAATATTCCATCATTTTCACACAAAAAAATATACTTAGGGTACATGAGCAAATTGATTACCTCTTTAACTTTAAGTCTAAGAGCACCATAGACCCTAAACTTATTTATTATACAAATTATTTAGCCAAATTTTAAAACAGTATAATTTAATTCTTGACATTAATAAAAGTTAAATTTGACTGTTAGTTGATTATAAAATAATAGAAAAGTATATCAAAAATTATAAAAAATGGCTAAAATTTTACTGTCCTTTTATGTAATTTTTTGGGTCCTTTATTGTAGTTTTTTGAATCATTTTCTATAATTTTTGAGGTACTTTCACTTTCTTGTTAAACTAAAAGTTAAAGTTGGCTAAACCATATTGCATTATTTTCTAAAGTTGAGAAAAAAAATTGTATAATAAATGAGTCCAAGATCTATGGTACTATTTATTTTTATAAATAAAAATAAATAAATATGTATAATAATAGGCTAAAATAAACTTTTCGTCCATTAATTTTACATAAAATTTTATTTTGGTCCTTTAATTTTATAAATATATATTTTTAGTCCTTTAACCCTAAAACTTTAGTTTTAAATGAATATTTTTTGTACTAATTATTGTTCTTTTAAAAAATTAAACTTAATAAATTAATGTTTGAAATTTTTTTTTTAATATTTAAAAGTTCAATCTAAAAAATTTTTGTGATGAAACTAACGGTATTAAGTTAAAGTATTAAAAATAGACTTTTTAAAATTAAGGGACTAAAATAAAATTTTATGTAAAGTTAAAATATTGAAAGTATACTTTAGCCAATATAATAAAAGTGAATGTTTAATTTTTAAACAAAATAATATATAATAAAAAAATCCACCAATATTCCATCATTTTCATAAATATAATATATATATATATATATGATAAATGAGCAAATTATCCTTTAAATTTTATTGGATATAATTACTTATGATATTATGTTTAGTTTAAATTTTGATAATGACAAATATATTTTAGTTAATTATATGCATTAGTTGTTTTTAAACACACACACACAGTAGTTAATGAAGTATTTTTACATATATCTTTCCATGTTATATGAGATTTGAAAATATGGTTAATGTGCATAAAAGTTATTTTATCCTATCGACTATCATATTTTTTTCTTAATCATAAAATGATTATATATTTAAGAATATTCAAAGTGTTATTTTTCATAACTTGAATATTTACAATACATAAGACTTTTCATATGCATGCATAATATAATAACTATTATATTTGTTCTTATATATATTGATACTTGGATTAACCACTTCATTCATGACATGTTATTGAATATTATTATAATGACCTAAATTTTAAATTTAAGTTAAATTAGTTTTTTTCATTGAATTTTATTTAAATTAATTTTATAGCAAGTGAAGGGTAATAATTTAGAGAAACTTATGCTAATAACTTTTTTAAAGGCCTAGAGTTTACATTTTACTAAGTAAAAGTTTAGTTTAATTTTTTTAATTATAAGAAAACTTTGTGTCCTTTCTTATAATTTTTTTGTGTCGTTTCTTGTAATTTTTTTAATTTTTTCTTTTGTTCAGAATTTTTATGGAATTGCATTTGCCACTCATCATTTGTGATGAGCGTGCTCATCAAGCCAAGAGCGGTCTTGGCCCTCTATTTCAATCTTCTTTAATTTCTGTTATTTATTTAAATTATTTTTTAATATTTTTAGTATTATATTTATTAATATAAAAATATAAAAATTTTAAAATTTTAATATATATGTTCATTACCAATCTACTTGGTATAGATTTAATCTAGCAGTCTAATTTAATTTTAAAAAATTATAATTTTATGATTTAACTATATAGATAGACTCTGTATAATTCATGTATAATTTATATGACCTAATTTAATATTAAAAAATTATAAATTTTATAAATTAACAATTTAAATATATCCTAAATAGTCCAGATTTAATATTAAAATTTTTATATTTTTTATTTTAATAAATATAATATTAAAAATATTTAACAAATTAATTTAAATGAATGATAAAAATCAAATAAAATTAAAATGAAGGTCAGGATTGTTTCTAACCTTGATGAGCACGCGGTGCTCATCGTTGTATCCTCTTCCTTCCCTTCACTGATGTATGTTCTTTTAATTCTTCACCGTCGATCTGCATTTTTGTTTCTCACTGTCGACTGCCCTTTTCGCCGTCGTTGGTCATTCGCCACCCTTCTCCCATCAGCGTCGATCTGCCTCAGTGAAGTGGAGTTGCTGGATTTTCTATTCTTGCTTGTCCCTATTTCATTATTTATGCTTTTCTCTTACTTCAGTGTCAGCGTGTATGGTTTGTGAGTGTGTGAGCTTCAATTTCTTTTCCTTCCCAACTGCTGGAAGTTGGTCAGTTGGGTGTATGTGAAAAATTAATGGCACCCTTAAGTGCGAAATTGAAGTGAGGTGGGTTTTAGAATTATTGAAAAACTCTCATGTGATGGGTAG